CCAACATTGGACCCCACCCCTCGTTTCTTTTCTCTCTCTTCTCTATCGCTAATCTCTTGCTTTCTAATTAACGTTAGAAGGGGTGTAAACTGATTAAAATAATGGTCAACGGGATTGAAATAATGGGGGCAAGGACGGGGGATTGGGATTGCTGTACTCTAAATGCACCCGCATTACATCGCGTAAGCGGCTCATGAAATTGTAGAGGGATACGATTTCGGGATTACTAATTCGAATTAGAGCATAGAAAATAGAAAAGGGATGACGATAAAGCTTGTTAAGGAAGTTTCTTGCGTCCTATTCCATACAGTTCTTCACAATTAATAAATAAACATTTTAAAGTTCTTAAATATTCGTTGTATTCACGAAAAACTCAATAGAACCAACGAAAACTTAAACATATTTTATGTTTTAATTATATATGCATGATCTTGAGCACTGCGGAATTACACAACGTGGATAGAAATCAAAAACCATTTATAGAGACAGCACAAAAACGCGAAAGATGCTGTGAGAGCCGAAAAAAATTTCACGCCCGGGCCATCATGGAGGTGGTGCGTAACTTCTGGAAGGATCTCAAGGTAATACTTTTTTAAAGGAACGAAAGGTTTGGCTATGGGTTTTACCAATATATTATTCCTGTTGAATTAGGTGAATCGGCCGTCCGAGCCAGTGGCCTTGGCCGAATTCGAAACATGGTACCGTAGGACGTCTCGCGTTATGGCTAAAAATCTAGCCGTTTTCTTTCTACATGTAGGACTTAATTTCTGAGATTACCGTTGATTTCTAGTGTGCGATCGGGGCGATCGCCAGTGGACTACTGTTCTTGACTCCCGGTGTGCGCGGATATGTGCAGCAGATGCCGATGATACGATAGTCCGTTTTTAGCTAATTATGGGTTACTTTTTCATCCTCGCTCCGATGTTTGCGCTCTTTTCGGAATTTCTTCGAAACCTCTCAAGATAGAGCACAAAAATACTCAGAGTCACTATGACAAGTCTAACAATGTAATCGGAAAGTTGCAGCATACCTTTGAAACTGGGATTGGAAAATTATTTTTTGACATTTTCGCGATTTTTCGCTGCTTTCGATTCTATCTCTATGTCTATAAGCGGCCACCCGTAAAGTACAGCTTGGATGTCCCTTTAAACGACTCTACAACAGTCTGATCTACACTGCGGGAGTTGTTGTTCCAATCGTAACGGGCACCTGGCCTCTCGAATCAATCATCGGCTACCTGGCTTGGATCCTTCACACGATTCTACTCGTTCTCGTCACAACCGGTACGTGCCCCACTTCGGCGTCGTTACCTCAAATTCTAGTGTTGGCCAGCGACTTTGACACGGAGATGCCAATGGTGATACTGATGGGGTTGAGCCTGTTCTCCCTATTTTTCTGTATCCTGTGCTCACGACCTCAATGGCTGTTTGCCAAAGCACGCTGGACTGTATTTTCGTGGATCATTTGGCCATTCCTCATCCAGGTCATACAGGTTTGTAGCTAAGGGTATAAAAGTAGACTGCCTCCCAAAAAGCAAGTTTTCCGTCTTTTATTAAAAAAGTATAAAATTAATCCTCCCAGATTTTTTAAGAGCCTATAAGCCGTTGATTTTCAGGCATCTATGCTGCTTTACGATTCATCGTGGTTCATAAGTTCGCTATTCGGCGCCATATTAACGACGTATGTCCTCTACAATATTGACGATGTCACCTATAAAAGCCCGTTTCCCACTGTTGTCTATTTGTATTGTCGTATCCCTTGCTATTTCATTTCTAAGTGTTCATCCTCCTTTCTTGGCTAATGCTTCGCCTCTTCCTGCTCCAAAATTACTCAAAAAAGTTGCCTTCAAATGGTTGTGTCTCTGGTTGTCGATCTGTGATATATTCCGCTTTTTGGGTAGACTTTACCAATAAAAGCTTTAAAAACAACTTTATGAAGGTTTTTCGGTAGTGGGAGCCTCGAGGTGGGTTCGCGGGAGCTTTTGCTTTGGACGGTAACCTTGAATGGCGTGTGCGGATGGAGTTCAGGGTAGAAATGAGTCACTGCGCCAAAAGTCGCTGTCTCGAAACAAGCGGCTTTCAGGTGATTTGAAGGTCGAGAGAAATATGTGACGTATTATCTTAAAAGAAAATATCGGCATTTGAAATAAAACCAGTCTGAAATGAAATAAATACAGGGTGTCCCAATAAAAAAGGTCACGCTGGCATTTCGCCATTTCAAATCCGATCGACCTGAAATTTGGAAGAGAGGTGCGGAAGGGAATTTAAAATGTTCACAGAAACTTTCAGCCCGATCGGTACAGTAATTCTCGAGTTATAACATAAATGCTGTTTTTTCAATAGCTTTGCTTCATTTTTTCGGCAATCTTTTTGGACTTTGCATCAATTACCATCAATTTCGGCCCTAAATCCCTCATTCTTCTTAACATCGGGGATGATAACACCTTGTTAAAATTACTTAAACAACCTATTTCCAAGACGAATTTTACAAATTAAAAAATTTTCTGGGGTAAAAAAGGGGCGGCGCTTCATTTTCCCCATAGATTCCAAAGCTCAATTCCGGCGAAATCCAGGTTAAAAACGTAAAATAAAGTTTATTTTTGCTATAACTCGAAAACTACTGTACCGATCGGGCTGAAAGTTTCTGTGAACATTCTAAATTCCCTTCCGCAGCTCTGTTCAGAATTTCAGGTCGATCGGACTTGAAATGACAAAATGCCAGCGTGACCTTTTTTATTGGGACACCCTGTATATGACGTTGAAATAAAATATGCAAAAACCTGCGTTTATTCGGCATCTGTTCGAAAAAGTGTGTGATTGAATAGAAAATAGCCAAAAATGCTTTTCAAAGAGCGTTCTTTGTATAACGTTTCCCTCGTAAAGCTATGTGTTTTAAAATAAGACATGCAAAGGACGCGGATCACAGTAGTAATGGACATTTCGTGCTGTCTCAGCCATTAGCGCATAAATATCTCAAATCTACGGATCATAAAGCGCACTCCTCATTACTCCCCCTGCCAATTTCATGCCATTCCAGGTTTTCATTTTCGATTTCAGGCGATCGGCCGATTGGCTGAAGGGAAAAAGCGAAGGATCGGCGCGATGGCATCCATCCAGAGAGATGCGGATGGCAATCCCGAAATCCAGAAATACCCCTTCTCCCCCCTTCCCCCCCGATCCACGCACGCTTCACGAAAAAACGAAATTTTGCGCTGGCGCGTGTGTGTGGATATACCACGGGCATAAAACTGGTTCTGACAGTCTCTGTGAAAACAGGTGGGGGAACTGAGGAGATCCAGGCTCAAGGGCTTCCGGATTCAAGTCAAGGCTGTGGAAAAATTATCTAGTAAGGGTTAATGGAATAATACGGGGTGGTAAATATGGTAGCTGTTTTGAACGATGATAGAATCAGTAGCAAATTCCGCGAATTTTTTTTTTTCTGTGCTTTTCCCAGCCATTCTAAAAAATTAAATAGCTGAATTTTAGCCCTAAAATTGAAAATTCCTTAGAAGTACAACCTCCAAATTACGATAAAAACTACAAAAACAAGACCCGTAAAAGAATAAAACCTCGTTGTTGTTAAAGTACAGGCTCCGCCCCTTCCCCCTCCACAACCATTCCATACGATGCCATCGATGAGCAAGAGGTGGGAGGAGGAGGAGCATGAGAGGAGGATCGAAATCCCCTTCCATCGTAACGTTCCCTTCGGGCACAGACTCGTGTGTGTCACCATAATACACACCAATTTCCATTTAACACCCATTACATGACGCCCATTTTTGTCATTCTTTTGTTTGTCACGGTTAGTCAACGATGTCAGGCACAGGTGGGTAGAATTTTTTGTATTTTTGATGGCATTAGGCCGTTGAAGCATATCTTCAGGAAAAAATAGGATTTGAATTTTCCAGGCCAAGGAGAATTTCAAAAACAATAAATCCTTTGTTACCCGCCCTAAGTTAGATACTTACTTTTCCAATCATCTCTCCAGATGGTTTTTCCAGTTTTTAAAGCTATACCATATCTCAAAAATTTTTACGGTCCGGCTTTGCTTGGGTAAGGTTTATTGAAAGCCTTGGCCGAAGAATTATTTAAATGCGCGAGAGTGGCAACTTTTTGCGCCTTTTTTCTTAGCTTAAGATTTATTCAGTATCTATTCCCTTAGCCTCAGCGGTATTTAAATAAATTTTAGACTGCTTCTTTATTTAAATAAAGCCGGACTCCAAGGTCTAAGCGATCCGCTGCATATTTCCACCGCTAGAGCAATTTTTACCCAACTGGCGAACCAAAACCTGACCCGTATAAGCCGATCCCCATCCATCCCCTTCTCACAAATCCATTGATATTCAACAGAAAATAAGTGGAACGTGAAAAAGCTAGGGTGGGGATGGTTTAGCCCCCCCCCCAAACCACAGGGGAGCCCGAGGGGGGATTTGGTGGGCTATGGAGCATGGCGGGAGGAGGATCTCAACTGGTTTGTCGAGCCCGACAAGAAGGGAAACCACGGCAAAAAGGAGATCTCTTCTGGATGGGGAGCGATTCTGTGGCAGGAAGAGAGAAAAGCATCCCTTCAAATATCACTGAAAAGCACCCCTTAGGCGTCGGGCAAAAGCATGGGGAGAGGACGGAGTCGGGTTTTATCACGTTGGGGATGAAAAGTACGACTTCTATGTTATCGAAATTATATTTCCAAAACACGGCTTTTTTAAAGTAATTTTTAAATCTTTCGCGAATTTTAATCTAAATTTTTCGAGAACTTTGCTTCCAACTACCAGTCGCGAAAAGCCCCGAGAGGTAAAAACGGTCTTGTTGTTTTTTCGAAATTATGATTTGGAAAATACAACTTTTCGAAAAACGATTTTTGGAAAGATTTTGTTCGAAAATCGCATTCCCAAAAATATGATTTAAAAAAATAGGAATTAACGTAGCTGCTATGGCCAAAAATATGCTCCAGCTGTAAAAACTTGAATTGTTCGTGATTCTGGTGCCAAAACTTCAGTTTAGATGAATTTCATGTCATTCTTGGACCCGGACAAAATGGGAAGAATGGTACAGCTTGCCCAGGATTTGACAAGGGCAGCAGCTGGTGGAATGGCTGAGGGAGAGCGTGAATCTATGTAAATTTCAGTTATGCATTACAATTTACACCCTGCGCCACCTTAAAATTAGCACAACCTAATTTCTAGACAACGCGCAGCTCAAGTCGAACCTGTCAGTCTCAACGCTCCGCCTTCGGAACTTTTCGCCCAAGGCCTCCAAAACATCATGCTGCCCGCGAGGTAACGAATAAGCAAACAGGCATTAAATATTTATAACATTCTAGACAAGGCCTCTACAAAGCGGTAAATGAACCACTATCCCTATTACCTACAACGACATCGACAACAACCACAACCACTACCACTCAACCACCATTCACATTCCCCACCTTTGCCCCTTTCCCGAATCCATTTACGAAACAGGTCTGTAAAACGGTGTAAAATTGGTAAAATTGTATTGGTGTAGCAAAATTATCTTTTTTTCAGAACCCGCCTAAAAAAGTGCGACAAATGCCACCGAAAGCCAAACAAGGAGCAAAAGTCATCAAGAGAAATCCGACGAGACGTGCCCCTCCAAAACGTGTTCAGGTCTGTAATTCTTGCCCTATCGAAAACCCTTTAGCATCCTGTTCTACCTGTCGAAGATGACGAAGATCTATCCGATTATTCCGATGTTTCTGACTATTCAGATGATGAAGACTTGGAAAATGAAATTGAAGATTATCGAGGGAGCGACGAGCTGAAAGGGCCCCCAAAACGTCCCAAGAGGAAACAGGTTAGCCCCAAAAATTGCAAATAATACTTTACCTTTAACTTTTTAGGGCAAGCCTGGACGCGTCGCTAGAAAGTCCATTTTTAAAACGACACCAACCACAACCGCGACTACAACAACCACTAGATCCCCGCCAATTGAACCAGCAATCGATTCAAGCCCAGATTCCGCCTATATCGAACAAAATCCCTTTATAAAATTGGCGGCGACTTTCTTACGAGGTAATTTTTCGTTTTAATTTTAATTAATTTTCCCGAATTCAGGAGCCACTGGATCTGGCACCAGCAATTCTGACGCTGGAGCCGAGGTGAGGCCAACGTTTCGTACCCCAGCCAGGGCCCAAGCCGCCCCAACAGCAGATATGAGTGGATTGCGAGCTAGTAAGTTTTCTTGCCTCTTATTAGGAAGTTATTTGCATTAGTGGCGCGAGCTTTTATGGGCCCCGATTCGGCACCCAGCCAACCAACGCTGGAAACCAGCGGGATCCCTCGATCCGAACCGACCACCGGAAGTCAAGCTGAACTTGGTGTGCTAAACCTTAACAACAGTACGTTGAACTGATCTTTTAATTTTGTTATATAATTTTCGGTCGTCTGTAGGCGAGTGTGTGTGTTTGCAGAGGCTTTAGGTGTAAAAAAATGTTCTAATTCTTCGTAACTTGGGGGGAAACAACGTCCCTCTTCCTGATGGTCTTCCCAGAATTTTCGATAAAATACAAGTTTACAAAGTTTAAGTCGGTTTTACCCACTTTTCGGTACCGGGGGAGGGGAATTTGTATACTGCGAAAAAGTGCGAATTTGTCATGCTTGCCAGTTGTATTCTTACCTTGCTCCGAAGGACTATAGCGAAGTCGAATCCAGCGTTCAGGGCCCGCGAAGCGGTTCTTGAACGCTGGATCCAAATTTATTAAAATGAGTGTACCTGCAGTGGCTCGTCTTGCTCGCGCTTTCATGGGTGGGTCGGAGGGTCGGCCAGCGGCAGGAGGAGCACGAACCTATGCTCCGGAAGCGGTCAGCGAACCGGAGCCGGTGATCCCTGCCAGCGAGTCGCGAGCGCTGGGTGTACCCGTTACGCCGGTTAAGGGCAGCGAAATTAGTCCCGGTGCCGCAAATATGCAGACGTGTAAGTTGTATCTTAAAATATTGTCTGAGGAGTCTACAAACTTCAGCCTTTAAACGTTTTAAATTACAGTGTCTCGACTGGCTCAAGTATTCCTGGGAAGCGGAAACGAACGACCTGCCGCTGAATCAGCCAGATATTTGGTGCAACCACAAGCTCAGGGTGTAGCAACAGCCACTTCTGAGCAGCGGGCAATTGATGGCTTCAGAAATGGTACGAATCTAAGCTCAGTGCTCCTATTTCTTCACTTATATAGGGGGCGCTTATAATAACAGCAATATTGAATATCTAAATTTCAGTAGCCCAAGCTTTCATGGGAGGTGCTAGATCGGCAGCTACTGAAGCGGAGGCGGCTCCCGCGGCTGCTCGACAGCCATATGGTTTGCCGACAATTCGTGATTTCCTGCCGGGAGCCGGCAATAATTTTGGTCTACGGAAAGGGGAAGGTAGGTCTATACTCCGTGACTAAAGCTTCTTTAGGTTGCCTTCCATTCCTCTCTGAAGCCATGCAATTGGTATACGGTAATTGCCAACGTGAGGCCGATCAGAAGGCGTTTGACGCTTGGGGTACCGAGATCAAATCGGCGCTTCTTGAGGGGCGAATGGATTTGTTGAGGGCTAGGTTTGTCATATGAATGGAGTTAACGAAATCTGTTGTCTTTAGTAAGGAAACATGCAAGCGCACCGTGGAAAGGCAGCAGTGTGGTGCTCTGAGGGAAGCTATCTCAAATTGTGATATTATGGGTTCACTAAAGGTAATCTTAGCTTTCGTAAAATTGTGGCTACCTTAATCTTAATAACAGATGCGAATATAAAAGTGTTTTTTTTCAGATCAGCTCCCAATTACAACGCGAAGTAAAGCGTTGCGATGAAGTGAATGGGCTAGTAGACCAGGTCAATCACGATTTGCTATATTGTATCTATTAAATTTTAGAATCCGATGGCCGTTATTGGACAAGTCAGCCAGCTGATGACCGGCGAAGTTGCCCAAGGCTTCTTCAGCAATTTCCTCAAAGGATAATTTTCGCCCGATTGTGCATATCGAATTTTTTACCGTAATGCCTCATTTTTCTCATTCTCTCCATCTCAATTACGGGTACTGTATGGAGGATTCAAGGATAAATATATCGAGAATTATCATAGTATCACACTATTTAATTCGATGCAAAAGAACAAAACCATAGGTGGAACATATTTTCCTTGGGCTTCTCTATCACCAGGTGTGTCTATGTTTACCACACCGAATAGCCACCACCCCAATGTCCAACGTTTGAAACAAATGAGGCAATTTGTTTGAAGTATCTGGGCGTACTCGCCACGGTTTTTGGCGACCGAGACCGGACGACGAGTCAGCTGCCCCACCCTCGGTTTGGCCCTAGGCCCCCGTCGAGAACCCTTTAGCCCGCCCAGTCAGATCCGGGCAGTTTCCCTCCCTCTCTCTCGCCCCCTCTCTCTATCTCTCACTTCGAAAAGAACCCAAAAACAAGATCCGTCAAAAAGGCCATTCCCTTGCTTCGCTCCCAACCTCTCCCCCGCTTCATAGCCACTTTTTTTCGAGAACTTTATCACCTCGGGGAACGAATATTAACCAGGGGTGGTATCTCATGGCCCCATTGCTTGTTGGGGCCCAGACTTTCGGCAACATTTTTGATTTTAAAGAGGCTATGAAGGCAGGACAGTTCTTTGGTTCTGCTTCAAGATTATCACCCAAATTATTTTCTTACTCCCTTCTGGGGCCGAAGAAAGTCTTCATACTTTGCATTTGTTTGCAGGCAACAATAAGAAATTTACTCTCTTCGTCGGATTTTGTTAAGCTACTCGCCTTTCTATCGTATGCTAATTGTTTCTTAATTAAGAGGAATGGCCGAGATTTTTGTAAAACTTTAAATATAATATCGAGAATAACTAATTTTATACATCGGCCTTACGTTCGTTTACCGCCAGATCATCAGGCATTTAAAAAATATCCCACATGTACTACTTTACACAGATGCCAATTGAAATGTCGTGATCCAAACGAAAACCACGGAATGGAGCCGCGGAGCAAGGAATCCCGGCTTAATCTCGACGTAAATTTGCTGCTGTACCATATCGGCCTACCTATTTTGTTATTGTTAGGTAAGCCAAGAGAAAAGCGTGCTCTTTACCAAATAATTTAGCGATAATCTTCAACATCTCTATCCTTGCCTATATTTATGTGCTTTTTCTGTTTGCTATACCATTTTTCGTCACGACAAATGTCAACAAGCATGGTCAGTTTTCAATTATTTAGCGGTATAATAATTATTTACCCCATACTTCCTTAGAATTATAAATAAAACCACGAAGAATCAGAAGACGGCAACAAAGTTAAAAACTTGAGCTAAAATCCTTCAAAAAAAACTTCCGATTCTACTGATAGCCATTACCGTATACCCAGCTATCTTTTTCTATCTTTCTCGTTAACGTATTGGTTTCAACGTTTCGAGTCCATATCATTGCCTTTAACGAACGTTAACTTTAACGCCCAGCAGGTGCCATGACATCAGAGTTCTGGTATTTTCGCACCTCACCCGCCTTGAGGGCCCACAAATCAGCGAAACCCGAGCGTATCTGCTACGTTCTTTGTTGCGGATGGCTCTCTGGCGCTCTATTATCCCTCCACGATCTCTCACTTGGCTTCCCTAAACCATCAACGAAACGGGGGGTGCTGAGTTATGCGGGTTTTGCTTGAAATTTGAGTCAGTGTTGGGGAGGTGAGCCTGGAGACAGGTCACCCTCTACCCCCTCTTACACTATGATCCGATGCACAGATCAGCTGGGCGGCTCATAGTTTTGAGTATAGATGGTGGAAAAATTTTAGAGGGACGGGAAAGGATTTTTGATAATATTGAAATTTCAATATGTCGTGGTTTACTATAAACCTGACTTGAGATACTAGATCAGATCAGATACTATTCCAAAAAACTCGACGTATGCCAATTTCGCGCTACACTGCGCATCTAGATAGCCAGCCCTAAAAGCAAATAAAAAGAATCAAAAATCATCATTATTTTCAGGCCATCCAACTCATTTCCTATGGCTACTGTGGACGTTTTCGGGCGTTTTATCGGTGTGCGATGTAGCTTTCAACGTCTTGCCATGGTTTCTACCAACATTCGATTCGAACGTTCAAAAATGTGGGTTTTAAAAGTATCCTTATTAGTTTTTCGGCTTCTGATTTATCAAAAGTTTTTAGGTCGCCGTTTGGAACGTATCTTTATCGAAATTGGCTTAAGCAGATACACTCATCGGTAAGACTTCGATAACGTTATTTCCGAAAATCGTCTAGCGATTTTCTGGAACTGCTCAGCCAACTTCTACTCAAACATCTCGTCTTTATCGGCGTTGGATTGCTTATATTACGGCTTCAATTAATTCGCTACATCCGTGAGAAAAAGATCTGCGATGTAGAGCATTTTCCGGAGGTTGGGCCACGAAGTCCAGATCAATTACCGTAACCTCTGTAGCTGAGCTATTCCGTACACTCCGATACACGATTTGCCGCCACCATCCAGCATTGTGTCTTTTTGGCAGCAATGATGATTTGTGGATTTATTTATCCGTCGTTGGTAAGTAAATTTAAGTTGATCACGCAGGGAAATTCAGGCAACTGTTCCCTACTTTCTGCTCTATTTCTATGCTTTCTTACGCTGGGCATTCGACCGGAATATGAGTGATCGGGTAATCTATAGCCGTCAATTGTAGCTACAAATTTTCAGGAGTTCCGAAGACTGCGAATTCTCACTATAATGTACATTTTCATCCACATTTCGGCGCTTCATTGCTATCAGCTGCCGGCTCTACATCGATTTTTGAAGCCAGAAACTTTCTGGACAAGGTAGGTTTAGAAATAAGGGGCTTGCTGATGTGTTCATTTTTAGAATTTCCGGATTGAATCGATTGCTCCATTTCCGGTGCGATCGGTTTATCTACCCGAAAGTGAGACTTTTAATCGTAATCATAAACACTGATTTTTGAGGTAACGTTTACATGGAGTTGGCCGGAACGAGTTCAACCGTTTGTGCTGTTGATTTTCTACAATTTATGTGTTTATCAGCTAAAAATGGGCGACGAGGTAATTTCAATTAACATATCATAGATAACATCACATGCCTCAAGGTTCCTTTGTCAAAATATCAGTAGCTTTTGACCCGAGTGCCCGCTCTCCCTCTTTTTCGAAAAGAACCCACCAGGGACTTCACACTCCCCGCTTCTTTCCCTCCACTGAGGAGTCGGCCCCATAATTTTTATATTTCCGCGTGCCCAGCCACACATCGCCCTCCGGCTTCCTCACTTCCCCCTTCGTACTCCTCAAGGCTTGAACGCGCCCCATGGGAGGAGAAGAGCTCGAGAATTCTGGGCACTGAATAACCGACTGGTTGGGGTTGTTGCTCGACACGGGGCACTAAATAAAATGACTATAACGTCATTACCATTATAGAAATTCAAGGAAAGGCTAAAATGAGGGAAAGCTTAAATAGTGATAGATTACTATGAAAGTTACGATCCAGAATATTCCATATACCAAAATAACTTATATAAAAAACGCTATCCAAAATTTTCATTCCCCGGTGCAAGCCATCCTGCGATTTTTTATTTTGATGTATTTGGTGTAGTGAATTCCGAGGTGTCCTGAAAAGAGCAAATTTTTGCAAAATTTTTGTTTATAGGCTTTTCTAGCAGCCGTCTGGCCCTAAACAATCACTCAAACCAGCCAGACAATGACAAAACATTAGGGGCAGACTAGAAGTCTTAAAAAATATGGAAAACTGAGAGATCCTTTAGAAACCGTCACTTGGAGGAAGGCACAAAGGTCAAAGAGTATCCCTGAGGCTTGTGAATCCGCCGGAAATAGCAACAACTGAAGGACCATCCCCCATCGTTCAAGTGACCATCACTGTTGTTGACGAAGATAAAGACCAACCTGCCATTCAGGTATTTGGTAATTTCTAGACGTCTTGAAACGTTTTACAAGCCTAATTTAAAGTTAATCAAAAAATATAGCTGATATTTAAGCTCGACAATGAAGGGATGCTCGATTCTCATTCATCAAAACTCTCCGAAATCCTTTCCCCAATGCAATATATACGCCGCTTTTTCACCATGGTTGTGGTAAGACCTATTGCTAAACCGTAATAAAACCGATTAAGCACGAGGTGGTTGGCGACAATTTCAAGCTAGCAGACTTCCTGGGGAAAAGCCTGGAATTCGCGAAGGCGCAGGGCTACGTTTTGACCCTCTTTACGATGATGGTATGCAAAAATGACTCTTAATGCTACTAAAATTAGGCTTGGTCGCTGACATTCCATTCTTGGTTGACGTTTGCATTGCTGGCGGCTTCATGCGTTGTCTGGATGAGTCCAAATCCCAAGAAGTTTTGCTTTAAGGTAGGTATCCTAGCCTAAGTGACTTCAAAGTTGCAGGTTGGCCCTTTTATTGCACTGTACGCGACGCTACTGCTGCTCCTCCAGTATGTCTACAGTATGAATTTGACCCAAATCGAGTTGCCTGATGAAAATCCACCGTATTTGCGGCAGGTCAGTTGGTTAACGGGATGATGTCAGAAAATACAATTTTAGTTTGGCATGGAAAAATCAAGAGACAGCCCGCCGTTCATTCCACTTTGCATCAAAGCCATCTACACAATGCTGATTTTTCTTTCTATCAAACAAAAGATTGTTGACGAAAAATTGAAACGTTCTCAAGGTATGCCCTAAGAATTAAATAAATGGCTATCTAGGTCGCGGTTCAATTGTGGCCGAAGAAACTGAAAAATCAATGCTGGAAAGCAAGGAATCGGAAAGTAGGACCTCCCAACCATGGAACAAAAATAATACGATTACAGAAAAAACTCGTTGGGGAAGAATTCGACAATTTCTGGCTGACCATTGGGTGTTATTCACGCTGTTTTTGATCTTGGTCATATCGCTGCAAGACCCAGTGGTCCTCTACCGGCTGCTATATATGACCTTCTTCCAGACGTTCCTCATATTCTTCCAAGTAAGTCAAGAAAATATTTAAACACTAGTCTTTCAGGTTTCCTTCCCAACCTGGCGCCGAGGGTTGTATTTCTTTTGGATGGCAATGATCATCTACTGTATGGCTGTCGTTACTCTCATCTATACCTTCCAATTCCACGGTGTCCCCGATTTCTATGGGCGGTATTTGAATGATGATGTGTAAGTGGTGGAACTAACTGAAGAAATTGCGTTTAAGAATCCGATCGATCGGTTTGGAACGAATATCATCTGGACAGTTATTATTGCGATTACTCACGCCCATCTCATTTTTGATATTTTCCTTGATTCAAGTCAACTTTTTCCATCAAAGACTGATGAAAAGAACCGCAAAATGGGAAGAGGTCGTTTTGAAAGCTTACATTAATACTTCTTACCTCGGTTAAGATCATATTCGACAAAAAACCTCAACTCTCCCGGATTTTTGCTGAACTACACGCCCAAAGTGAGATGAGAATGGACTTCTTCCGTCAGCACTTCGCCATGGTACAATCGTTAATGTAGGTGACTGGTAATTAATGGAATGTTTGCCGTGACGATCACCACTTGATTTGCCGTGTTTTAATGTTTCCATTTCTCTCCTGCATAGATATGGTAGAAGGATTCGCAAGCTTGCCCGCGATGAGTCCGACGGTTATGAGTTGGTTTGCCGTAATTTTGTGGTGGACATGTGCTGTGAAATAGCGCTTCAGCTTATTTTAATCTTCAATGTTTTGTTTATAAGTGTTAAAGCCAAATTGTAGCCGTCGTGAGAAGGAGGCGGAGGAGGAAAAGGCAAAGGAAGCATTGGCTGAGGAAGAGAGTCGACAAAAGTTGGACATGAAAGCGAAGATGAGGGTTTATTTGGGAAAGCTGGAAAAGAAATATCATCATATGGTTGATAAACGAGATCAGGTATGAAGAAACTAAACTTTTTGGTTTATAAAAGATGGTTACAGTATATCGAAGTGATTTGGCGGATTGTGGAGATGCATATGGAGAGGGCTATTTGTTGTTTGATGGTTTATGGGGCGATTGTTGAGGTAATTTTAAAGTTTTTCGTCAAGAAGGGCAATTCCTCAACCTGGAATTCTTTAGGTTTCCGCTACAAATATACCAATGATGGTGTTCGTATCGTTTGTGCTCCCTCGAGAACATTTGTATTCTGCTCTCTCCCCATTTTTGGCTGTATGGACCTCAATTCTCGTGATGGGAAAAATGCTCTATCAAATGGACGCTTTTCGGGAGGAGACATTTTTGGGGAATTGTGAGGTAGGGCCTGGGTATTACGGTTTGATGGCTTGGTTTAGACGGATATTCTGAACGGCACGTACTCGGTAATGCCGTGGACTGGATTGAATAAAACGGCTACAGTATCTACACTGTTATGGGTAGGTTAAAAAGAAAAGAAAAGCCATGACTATGGATATATTTTTTTATACCCCAAAAATTTACTTTAGCCCTATGTTGCCCTTACCATTGCATTTGCTGCACGAACAGTCGTCTGGTTAAGAATGACAATGCATCGAAAAAATAACCAGGTACGGTACCCCCATCAACCTTTTCTCAAATTCGGCCTTCCAGGAAGCCCCTCCACTACGCGGTATTATATTTTCCAACATAAGCCGCAGAAAAGCCGACAAATCACTGAGCAAATGCTTGCAATATCTAGCCAATTATTTCTTTTACAAATTCGGCTTTGAGGTACCTAGTAGAGCCTTTGAGTAATCCTTTGTTAGTGCTGCTGCATTATTTCCGTGATTACCATCGGACTTCGGTGTGATATCTACTCGGTGATCTACGCCATATTTTTGATTGGTAAGGTTGTGAAAGTAATCTTGATAATGTGGTATAGTATTCCTAATCCGACGTCGTGAAGAAGTTGCTGCAATCTGGCCAAAATACACCATTTTCCTGGCCGTGACTTTTTCAATACAGTACCTGCTATGTCTTGGGATCCCAAAAATTTTCTGTCTAGGTAAGGGATCGCAATAATAATAATATTATTTTATTATTTAGCGTATCCCTGGAGTCCGTGGGATCAAGATTTGATTGAATGGCTTTTCTTACCTGATCATTTGGTCCCTCCAAATGCCGTCAAATTATGGGGTAAAATTTAATCGACAAGCTATGGAAAAATTATTTAAGCTGATTTCTTCCAACTCTTGTTCGTCAGTTGTCAAGCCCACGTCTTTTCTATTGAACTTTCCAAAGATGCTGGTTATTATCCTGGAGGTGCGGTAATACTGCGGCAATTCAAAATAATTTAGGCCAAAATTCGCCGGTTGTCTCGTACCATAGCTTGTATACATTGTGGTATTGTGCCCTCAAAAAAATAGCCCTCGATGGACCAACGAGAAGAAAGAAAAAAGAACCTATAAACGTTCCCGATTTCATCAGCAACCGGTAATCTATGTCAGTTACCTAATTTTATAACGATTTTAGAAAAACGTTACTGGATCTGGCGAAGACCTTTATATTTGTATATTTTTACTGGATAACTCTGGGAGTGATTTTTGTGACCGGCACCAGCACAGGTTAGGAATCAACGTGGCTCGTAATTTCATTTAGTGACCTTGTTCAATTTGGGTTATGTGCTTGGGTGCTTTTTCTTTCTATGGTTTGGCAACTCGCTGTTTCTTCGGCCAATGGGCTCGGCATTGCAATTGTAAGTCATCAAGCCTTACTTAAACAATTCATTCTACAGGTGGGATACATTGATATTCTACAATGTGTCCGTCATTTTTGTGAAGATCTCCCTGCAGGTATAAGATACAAAATAATATTTTTTTGTTAAATTTTCTAGGTCGTCGGTTGTGTCTATATGTCACAGCTCTACAAAAACTTTTGCTGGATGCTACAGCTTTTTGGAATTGCTTGTCTCAAGACAGGGATGGCTGCCGAAACGAGTTTGTTACAAGCTAGTTTCTTTATTCTGTTATTTTAGTTGTAAGCCGAGAGATTTTGGGAGAATGCGATGTTCCCCATAGCGAGGCTGGGATCTACTATGATGGCTTATGCTTTGCATTCCTTCTGATCCAACGTCGCATCTTCCTTTCTGAATATTTCAAGCATGTAATCGCCGAATACCGATCACAGCGTTTCTTTGCTAGTCGGTAACAAGCTCATGATTTTCTGGAAAATAGGATTCAGGGGCGCTGAGCTAATTGCAAAAATTACCTTGAAGGATATTAAAGATGCTGAGGAGGCAGAGGCTGAGATGTTGGCACAGGTAACTTACTTTCACATCCAAAACCCTTTAGGTCCGTCAAAAAGTTGATCGTGTACGCGTAAAAACAGAAGCTGATAAGGGTGTTTTAAATGGTAGTGGCTTTTAAGAGAACTTTTATGTAAACAATTCTAGTTCCATCTGTGGATGAGCTCGACGTTAGCCCATCAGAACTATCGCCAACATTACCCCTGGTTTCCATCGACAGTGAAGGAGGTAAAAAGTAGAGCGTTATCTAGTATCTATCACTTTAGCAACGGAGCCATTTGACAAGGATAGTGCACGCTCATCACCTATCGTATTTTCGGTGAACGGAGAAAAAGCATCGATTGATATGCCCGAAGGGGTGCCGAAGGTGTGGAAACGTTTTGCAGTCTCATTTTCCTTAGGAGCAACTTCCGAGGCTTCACGTTGACTTTGCCATTGACTACACGCCAAAGCCACCAAAGACACCCCGAAAAATCAGTCAAAGCATTCCACGCCAAAGGGGCTTGCCCCTAAAGTAAGTCAGAAAACTGTACTTCTACTACGTTTTACAGATCCCAATCAACCAGCAATCCTGAAGATGCCTGGTAAGATGCTCAACTTCAAACTCTCATTTTTCTGCCAGGTACTCCCCCTCGACTCCACAAAAAGAAAAGATGTTCGACGAGAAAATCATCGAAAAAGAAGGAGGTGTCAAAGGTCTGGGACCACTCCAACTGCTACAATTCGTCTTCTCGAAGGGATCATTCCGTGAAGCGCTCAGGGTATAACAAAATCTGCATAAACCTGTCCATTCTTTCTTAGGAATCACGAAAAATCGAGGCCACTCATGAAAAGCTGGAAAAAGAAATGGAGCAGACATTCGGAAAAGCTGACCACGAAGCTATTCGAAGAGCCATCTTCAGTCAAAAACAGAAAAAGCCGAGGGCAGATTATGATGAGGCCACTTTTGATGATCCATATACGTCAGGGAGGGGTATATTCACGTTTCCGCTAAACCACCAATCTGCTTTCCAGAAGATAGTGATTTGGCTGAACGCCGGAAGTCAACGATACCAAGAGGGCCATTAGGTAATATTTACTACATTATTTGCTCAGTATTGTTTCCGAAATACAGATGTAATTGCAATGCGACGTTCCGTAAGCGATGTGACAAAACCAGGGTCGTTTTCACAGGATTCAATGGTAATCATAAAGGTTAAATACCTTATTTTGGTATTCAGGGCGAACCACACTCAGCCAGCTCATCGCCAATGAAAGAAACCATGGAAAACCTAGCCGCTTATCATTGTCAAGTAATGGAAGATGTCAGTTTTATTTTAAAATTCTAGTGTGAAGATATTCAAATCGATATGGACTATTTTAGGAAGAGCATTCAGACGAAGAGCAAGACACCGAGACAAAGAAAAAAATTCGTGCGCGAATGAGGGAGAGCCGGCTATATCATTGTAACGAAATTCTACGAGCCAGAAGACTTTCTTTAGATTGGATTTACATGAAGGAATGGTTTAGCGACCTGGGTCGCTTCATGCTCATGTTTGGAGACGCTGTGCTCGAATCCACAATCCAGAATCTCATGATATTAAGCCGAGATTATCGGTCTGAAAAAGGATAGACATTTGAAAATCACTTTAGATATGTGGCTCGTATTTTACGGACTGAGAAACGATTGCACAAAGAATTGGCTGATGAATCGGTTAGTTTCGATACAAAAAAAATACAAGCCTGACTTTAGGAAGATGAGCGCTTACTGTCGGCTGTGCAATTGGAACGGAAAAGAAGTTTTTTGAAATTCCAGGTTTGTGAAATGGTCGTCAATTAACAGTTTCCATTCGCAAAATGGAATTTAGAACAGATCGGCCCCTTCCCTTCTTTGTCCCGTAATAATTTTAAATTTCGTAAATTGGCTTGCTTTTCCCTTTTTATTGATTAAATGGCCTTGAGTATTTTGCGCTTGCCTAGCTCCTTTGGGGACATATTGCAAAAATCGTGGATTTTTAGATCGAAAACCGGAAGGCTTCAACGACAGTTGTGGGAATTGAGGATGAAGATATGCAAAAGCTACATGAAGCGATTGAGGCCTCAGAAACGTTGGATTTAATAGCTATAGGGATTTAGTTACTTTCAGGAAAGAAGCAAACATCGTTGATCTGCTAGATACAGCCGAAAATTCAGAACGGGAACAAGTTGCATCGCCAAAAATTGTATGCTAAAAATCGCATAAAAGAGAACATCCATTTTCAGCAAGTGGAAGACGAGTATCGATTGATTCGGTTGATAAGAGCTTTCTATTTTGCGCTGATGTCCAAATCAGAAGTGATCTGCTATTTGATGATCGTATTCAATCATATGAGGTGGATTACTTTATGCAAAAAAAAAATTAAAAATGTTTAGCACGGCTTCCCTCCTTTCAATGCCACTTCCAATCATGACACTTTTATGGGGAACCCTTACCGTACCACGGCCGACAAAACGCTTCTGGATTACCGTAATTACCTATACAGAGGTGCTGGCAGTCTTTCTCTTCTTCTTATAAAACCTTAAGGTCATGGTGGTAGTAAAAACCGTATTCCAATTCGGTTTCTTCCCCTGGAATGGCCAGACGTCAGTTGATCCAATGTGGCCACCAAGGTTATTGGGAATTGGTAGCGTATTTTTTTAAAATGCCACTTTATCCTTTCAGAAAAACGAGAAAAATATGCAGCATGGGACCTCGCACTTCTGATGGCCTTATTTTTGCATCGATCCATCTTAATGGTATTTTAAATTACCACAACCTCCAATACCCTTTTAGACGAACGGGCTTTGGGAGCCTGAAGTTAGTGAACAAGATTTGATACGAAAGTTGGAAAAGAAACGGCTGAAGGTAAGTTCATGTAAGCAGTAAGACGACGGGAATTTCCAATCAAAGGCCGAATCCGCTGCCACATCCCGGCGTCCTTCCATCGTAACCCTTGCCTCAGAACTGCGAAGTACGTCCGATCTCCGTCATTTAGCTGGTGTTGGAAGGGATAAGTTGAAGAACAGGTTAGTAGCTACTTTTGAATAAAAGTTTTTTGGTTGTTCAATGGTAGTTACTTAATTGTATCTACTTTATTCATAAACATTATGCAAAATATTGAAGCTGAATTGGAAAATGATTGGTGATTGGGAGGTTGATAGAGTGGAGAATGAGGGAGAGCAGTTCTACAGAAATGCTAGTGAAAATCGAGAGGCCAAAACACATTAACGAGATAAAAAAAATCGAAAAACAATTGAATAAAACATTGGAGAACCGACAAGATGAGATAAAAACATTTAAAAACGCAGGAATTAAAATCATGCGATGTTGAGAACATTTCGAATTGATTGACACGTTGGCAAGACTATATGGATCCATTGCACCTGATAGAATGACAATCGTCAATGCATTCCCCCGTAAACACAATATTGTGCTGTGTGTTGGCCCGTGACCTAACAATAAACAGAAAAGAACAATACACGTAGATAAATGTAAGCAATTAATGAAGCTGAAGCAACGGTCCGTTGATCAAAAGCATATCTTCATCCCAAAAGATGCGCATCAAATCGGCCTAAGAATAGGAGTCGCCCAAGAGAAATTTCGTACCTGATCCCCTCCACGCTGGATCTGATACATCCACCCGGTCCCACACTTGCACTTACAAAGGCGAACGACAAAGGTCGGGTGGTCCCTTAAAGAGGAATACCAACAACATCAAAATAGCTTACGGAATAATCGGAAGGGCACTCAATCGGGTCGACGCCCTAGGCACTTTCCATCCCTCTTTCTCGTCAAAGTTGCGTTGATATTGCAAAAATTCCTTAAAGAGATAGGGGCGGCATAAGTCAACCGATTACGCGAGGGAAAGAAAATGTCTCTGCGCCCCCCCCGGGGCTCCCTCGCGCGGCCGCCGGGGGCCCTTAAGACCCCCCCCCAGGGGGTTCAACAGATGCCCTCCTCATCTCTTTAAATCAGGTTTTAGAGAGGTTTCCGATTCTCCGACAAGGCAGACGCTCCAAAAAACACCATTTAAAATAAAACATCTGAAGTACACTACCATGATCAGATCCTTGAGCACCTCGTCCGTGATTTCCACACGAAGTTCCATTGTATAAGCCGAAGACTTCACAGCCAGAAGGGAATCCCCTGATATCGGTTGATTGGTCTGTCCATTGTCGATCCTGATACAAAATTACATTGGTTGTCGCGAATGGTACCCGAAAGTCGGAAGGCTCATGAAGGATCGAAGCGATGGGAGAGCGCGCAGACGGCAAAACAGATTCTTGATCGTCAAATATCCGGGAGTACCACGTTTTGGCGTGATCCCCGATGATTGATATTTGAAACAATCGACCTAGATGGTGATTGAAATGCAGCTAGATGAAGAGTTATTACCATGCAGCGGCTCTCTCCTAGCACGGAAGTAACCTGGGAAACCAGTTCAGGGCTGCAATATTGCTGTAATTTGAGATTGATAGGTTTGGGATGAAGTGCATACAAGGCTCAGATTGCTGAGCGTGCAGTACTTGATGATATTTGGTAGATAGAAGCCGAGAGCATCAAAGAAGTCACTGAAAGGGGATTATGATTGTATTGCATTTGGAACCGAGCCCCGTGAATTCTTTTCCACGCGTTGTGGGGAATCCCCGGTTTCCCTCCCACACGATTTGGGGAACACCCCCGTGCGCATGACCCGAAATGCGGTTGGCAAACAGTGGAAAGAAGGTATTTGGAAAAAAAGAGATAGTGTGTTGGCTGTCTCGGGGAATCCCCTCGTGACGACCACTGATAAACGCTGGATTAAAATAATTTCGAACGAGACTGAGGGCAAATTTTTTGTAATGCGGCTCATGCCCGAATATTTACGTTTGCTTAAGGGTCAAAATTTCTAAAATTATACCGAACAATCAGCGGCGGGGTCTTCTGGAGGAAGAGTTTGTATTTGGGCCAGGTGCTGATCGGGTGAGCCTCAAGAGCAGAGGGGGTGCCGTTTTCATTCAGCCTATAACATCACAGGTTCGAAGCCGGTGAAGCCGTTCTCACTCGAATGCCATGACATATTTGAAGCCGCTCCTCCCTCCAAGTGTCTTCTTGATGCTGATTTGCATGAAGTTGGGCTGAAAAACTGTCTGTTCGTGTTCCCAACTGGTCAGCTTGTCGTTTTTCGCCCTGACCCACGTTTGGAAATTCAATCGGCTTTTGGTCGACTATGAATTTGAATGGGCATGAAGAGAAATTCATACCTGGTCTTTATTGCACACGATGGAGAGATCGATGGGAATTTTGTTGAATTCGGATCTATAAATAGCAAAAATTTTCAAAAGCAAAGGGGAAAGAAGGGGAAAAAATGGCGTGGATGTCCTTCGAAGAACAAAGCCTTAAAATGGCTTACCTATAGTGGTTCACAAAATCGTTCATACGATGATTGGTCCGCGACCATTTCAGCAGTGAGCTAGCATCCATTTCTTTGCATAAAGCATGTAGCAATTCGTTAGGAAGTGTCTCGAAAGCCATCCTAAAATTTAGCCCATCATATGTATCAAGACGTAAAAAGATGCTAGGAAAGAAAAGCTGGAGGCGCCGGGTGTAAAAATAATGAAGTGGAATCTGACAGACGGAGACTGTCCCCAAGGGGGCGGCGCTTTTTATTCGAAAACAATATGGGCGATGACTCGTCTATGGGAGAGGGTAGACAGAACGGTTGAGAGAACGTGTCAGAAAAAGAGAGCATAGAGGAGCAGAGGGGAAATCGACAAAACAGTTCGACAGTCCGGTCTACGCCAGGGTCTCTGTCTCTGTTTTGCATAAAAAATGGATGCGGGGGAAAAGGAGTTATTGCAGAAAACGGTGCATTAAAGTGGATAAGGTGCCGGACCTCGGTATGCTGCGCTCGCGCCACTCTTACATCGCGCGTTGCGTCTCGCGCCCAGAAAAAAATCCCGAGTGGATCCGCCGTTATTTCCATATCCTTCTAATTCGGAAATCTTGAAAAAATACTGGAAAACCCAATCCAAGGGAAGTGACGGGTGGGGCAACAAGAGAAAATAACGAAATCAGGCCCAGTGGGCTGCGGAAACCGCAGCAATGATATCAAAGATCAAAGGACTAGCAGTCAGGCTGCTAGGTGCAAAGAATTGTGATTGGGAATGAGATAATTTTGCAATTTTCCGACGAATGCTTGCCTTTAAAGGGATCGGGAAGGTCGAAGTACTAGCATCAACGCTTTAAGTGTTAAAATTAGCCCAGCCGCTTTTTTTAAAAATTAGCAAACAAAAATCTAAACTGCAAAAAAACATAAAGCCCTTATAATTCTAATTTCAGAATGCAAAAGAACGTTGGCCATGTGAGAGGTTTCTTCGGTATACTGGTGAGGCCGGAGGGGAGAGCAATCCCGTGTGACCACTACGCTCCGATGTTTATTGCTGACATCACCTGTTTCCTCATCATCATCTTTGGCTATTCCAGCTTCGGGGTGAGATGTTTACACCTACAGCTATTTTTTCGGTAAAAAAAGGAAATTACACATGGAATGAGTCAGCTTTTAAAGAAAAAAGCAAACAATTTTAGACGGATTCGTCTGGAGGTGATGTCGCAGCATATTTCTCGGAAAACAAGGTATGCAAGAGAAGGAGTGTTGTTAAATAGGAATTCTTTAGGTCCCTGGAACGCTGGTTTCAATGTTAATTATCCAATTTGTCTTGATTATTTTTGATCGAGCTCTATTTCTGAGGAAATTCCTTGTCGGCAAGATCATTTTCCAAGTGAGTCGTCCGAAGTTTAGCTAATGCAAAAGATAGGTTGCATTGATTTTGTTCGTGCATATCTGGATGTTCCTCTACCTTCCTGCGGCCACCGATCGGTTATTCATCAACAATACCACTTGTAAATTTTGGTACTTTAGCAAAGTAGTCTATTTCATCATCTCAGCGAAACAGGTATGAAGTTACCAGAAGATAGGAAAAGGTCCAATTCAGATTCGGTCTGGCTATCCAAAGAGAAGTATTGGAAATATCATGACAAACTCGTACTCAAGGATTAATCTCTGTTTGTATAAAGTGTACGTTTTTCTTCCAATAATTAAAAAAGTTAAATTCAGTTTTATGATGGTTCCATTCCTCTTTGAACTTCGTTGCTTAATGGATTGGATTTGGAAAGATACAGCACTCGGTAAAATCTGGGCAGCAAGAATGAATCAAAGGGTTTAGGTGTCGGTGACTGGTTCCTTTTCAACGAGATTTTCTCCCATATTTCGATGCTAAAATGCTCGCAGAAAGTGAATTCAGAAGAGATCGAATCAAAGCGGATTGGGAAGGCGTCACTCGAGAAATACGTAAAGGGAGGGATTTTGCTCGTGATCATAGGTATATTCATTGCTCCATTGAAGGATTTGACTATCCCTTTTAGTCTTTCTAATCTGGTTCCCCCTTGTGCTATTTTCAATGGCAAATACTGTTGGCATTCGAAGTCTACCAGTTGAATGCTCTGTCCAACTGACGATTTCTGGATTCCAAGTGAGAGCTAATTCCCGTTAATTCTGTGCATTTCTAGCCGTTGTACGAATCGACCGCTCAGCTTGGAAATATACACAGCCTTAGTGAGGAGGAATACGAGACATTACAGTATCCCTATAGGCTAAGCAAGGTGAGCCAGACAGTGGAAGTGGGACGCATGTGCCCAAATTTTAGGGCGCTCAATCATATATGTCAGACTATACCTATGAAGATGTGGTGAGGGCTAAGGTAATGAAGGATACGTTACACGGCATGGAAAAAACTTCAGATCAACGGAAATTCGACATCACGATGGATGATTAGCCCTCCGTCCCGACATGCATTGATCGCACAATTGGCCGAGCAGCCCAAAGTCGATTTCAAATTTAGCTGGTACTTTAAAAGGTAGTGATTGCCGTTTGAAGTATATAAAATAATACCATCTTAGGGCGCCCGACCCAAATCTGCAATTCGGTGTTGCCGAAGATTTTCGAATAATTTCGTTGAACTCAACGCATCCAGCCCGGCAAGGATTGGTAAATATGCTGAGAGGAGAACAGAACGCCACTGTGTAAGGATTTTTATTTTGGCTGGGCTGTGCCTCGCTACCTATCTGATTTGTAACGCGATAGTCGTTTCCAGTTGTGTGGGCAATCTCTCGCAATTGCGAAATTCAAACCCTCAATTTAGGCGGATACCAAATGTGTTTCCACAGTTGATGAAAGTACCACCAGATGGAAAGGCGGATGCCGTTGGCGCTTTATTAGGCGAACATGTGAAGGTATGGAATGGTGTCTGGTAAATGGACAAGGAGCCAATAATTTTCAGCAAGGTACCCCAACAAACCAATCATTTGCTGATGTTTTGCTTTCGTTAAACAAAGAAGATGGACATGAATGGTGGACAGTTAGGTTCGTGGGGATCTAAATTGTAGAGCAAAATTGCTAGGGGCTAAGCGATTCTACAACCAAAATTTTCAGAATGATTGATCGTCACTTTGATCCCGTCAAAATTACTGAAGAAGAAGTAATTAACGGGATTGTCGTCCACGGCTTCGTCGACAAGGTACAGCCGTCCTAAATTCGGTAATATTTTCCAGGTCTTCTCCACATCCTTCCTAATCCAATTCTTGACTGGTGGTGGCATCCTTGGTCTCTATTTATCATTGGTGCTCCTCGTTGGCAAATTTATGCGCGATATGGCTACAGGATCTATGCCGGTAGCTTTCAAAACACAACTTTTCATAATTTTTTAGCAAATTATGTTTGACCAACTGCCAAATGTGGACGACATCCTGCAAATGTGTTTGGATATTATGCTGGTAGGTAAAGCTGCGAAAATTGATTTGCGTTGGGCGGGATCAATTTCGAGGCATCACTGGGGTCCTTTCCCGCCAAAACTATGGCCTGAAGGCATTTTCTTATCTAGTACCGCCTCTCCCACCAGCCCGCTGATTTCCATTAATGCGTGGCACGAATGTGGCCCGGGTTAGGACGAAATGTGCCCAACGACTATTAGTTTCATTAAACCAAAAAGCAAAAAGTTTGCGTTCGGGGGGAATCGAACCCCCGTCGAATGCTTGGAAGGCATCCATGCTGACCATTACACCACGAACGCAGCTGAGATCTGGGAGAGCAGACAGCGCTATAGGTACGCGAGGCCGGCGAACTGGAGCTGGAAGAGGAGCTGTTTGGAAGACTCGTTTTCTTGTTCCGCTCGCCTGCACTCCTCATCAAAATGACAAGAGACAAGGGGCGAGGAGAATCCACGCAGACGCCATAACGGAAATCTTTAATTAAATACTGTATTTTTGATCCCACACCCGATCTCAAAATGATATCTATGTTTTATCGGTGCCTCACGACTCGTGTCTTTCTTTTGTTGTTGTTTGATGAGATAAATGGTGTAATAATTGAATGCAGCTCTCATGACCTTGTTTTCTTACATGGAAACATTTATTAAAAAAATAACACTTTAATAATAATAGTGGGGCCATGAAAATGACCGAAATACCCGTAGATATCATAAATGCACATGAATTGGCAGACCGATGACGAGAATTATTAGTACGTTAGTGGAAGAATCAAACCGGGATATTTTCATTAGAAGCAGTTACGTGGTCGCTAAAACACGGGTAAATGACTAGTCTAGACGGAAAGTATTAGCAGATAAATTTTGGAGTGCAAGTTCCGGTTACTTCACCGTAGGTTAGTTTTCCCTAGGGGTTTCTTAAAAACATGTCAACGGCTCGTAAATTTTGACACGATATTGCCATTCAATGGACTTTGGGGGAGTGGTTGTCGGGGATGTCGGAATGGCCCCCGAGGGATAAGACTTCTTTGGAATGGAGACTTTGGAAATTGCATTGGGGATCCAAGGTCACCAAGCTGGCTGAGATCAACAGAGTTCAGCGAAGTCTCAGAACCATATGAACGGAGATCGAGGGATGACAGGGTATGTTTGACCTGAAATGGCTTCGCGTAATTTTATGTCTAGACACTTACCCGAAGTCGTTTCATTACGAGATCGTTACTGCTAGGCATACGCTCCAGTGGGATCATCCTTGGTGGTGATCGCACTGGTCGACTTGGCAAGAGCCTCTGCTTCAATGGAGCAAGCCGAATCAGCTTGTCCTGACAGACCACGACGTCAGTCCGCATCACCCCTGCTTCTTCCTCTTCCAGCTCAAGCTCGAGTTCTTCAAACTCAAGCAGCTCGGCTGCCTCCTCATCCCTAATATAAACGATTAGGTGTTAGGTCCTTGAACTTACACAGCAAAGCTTTCGTTGAGCTGCTCCGCGCTTGGTGAACCGGGATAGAAGGCCGGGTCGAGCCGATTTGCCACAATCGTCATGTGGTCGGCGGAAAATGCCGAGATGATTTGATCGAGGGCTGGCGACAGCGGTGGGGTTGCGCTAAAATAATATAGAGCTTCGCGTTGTCGTAGGTTGGCCAATACCTTAATTTTCGTTCTAGGTCTTCACTGCTGCCTCGTGACACATAGCCACCATCTACCGTTTCTGTCGAGTTTCGGGATTCCCGGTCGTACTTATTCGTCTGAAAAAAGCTTTTTTAAGGACATGACAACATACTTTGAACTGCACCAATCCCTCGTACAAATCGCAACCCATAGATTTTCTCTTGGATTTCTTTTTCTTTTGCACATCTTCTCGTACCGGAGACTGCACTACCTAAAAATTCTTAGTCTTTGTGTTAGAGTCAGCTAACCTTGTCAAGCTGGATCCGCGGCCGAAGATTTGCAACCAACGAAACAAATTTTGAAACGCTGAATAGTCCGATCGGATATCCGACAAACCTGGTGTAGATCTATAAAATTGTTGTCATAGCTTTCACATAACTGACTTGTTGCAAAGCCGCAAAAATCTCGCAGTTTTCCGGAAGTTCAATTCGTGCCGTGGGGAGTTCGGCAACATATTTTAAGGCCAACACTGTCTCATCTACATCGCTTGAATTGGACTTGAAGCGATCCTGAAGCTCAGGTTTAAGCATGCCGTAGTTTTTAACCTGTAGCATGGCTGATGTCTGCTTCCAGGACCTGGCCTCATCTTCCGTAATTCCGTAAGTCGTGCATTTCTCATCGAATTCGAGCCATAGGTAGGAAGAGCTTGGGTCGGCGTTCGAAGTATTTGCCAGCTGATGATTAGATGCACATACGACTGCGTGGATCTAAAAAAATGTAAATTGTGATTTATCTGTATTACATCGGGTCAATCAGATTGTAGTCTACCTGTGCTCTCTGCGCAAAGACGTCGCTGAACTCGTGAACGGAGACAAAGAACGGAGCTGTGATCTTCAGGGTATCGGCTTTCACCAATCCACCGTTTAGGAAAATGCTGAGGCAGTTGACCGACATTTCCAGCACGCTCATCCGACCGGTATTTAGCAATGCCCAGGCTCGCAGACTTAGCCGCTGTACATCCCTGATGACCCCAGTTAGGGTTGTCCATTTCCCGTCGATCGATACGATACCACAACCACTTATTTCTTCGCTAATGTTGAGTTCTCGTCTTCCTTTCAGCTCTAATGTTTCAACAGCAACAGTCGCTACATTCCAGGTCAGACTTGCTGCGGTGGCGGTGAGACAGCTGGATGGTACTCCTTGGACTAGTCCGCTAATCGATACTTCGTTTCCGGAGATTAGCATCGATTTACATTGTGCTGCATCGAGTTCGAGGGTGGCGTGGCCAGATTCAATAGTTGTTGTTGTAATTCCATGGAGAGTTAGTGAGTCGACCGTCTTGACCGAGTCCTTTCCATAGATTTCGAGGTAGCTCAACTCCGGATAGATTTCCACTGAGAATCAAATGATCGGCATCAAAGCTGAGTTCGCTTCGAGGACTGTTTCCAACAATAGACCCAAGGAACTGGAGGGTGCCCGGCGAATGTTGAGGAGAGACAGTAAGACGACACTCCAATACCAAAGTTCCCGAAACGAGAAGTCGATCTGTGCACAGCCTGCATAAACCACTCTCTCGATCGACAAATTGTACGATGGTTGGAATCTCGACTTGTGAACAGATGATCTAAATCATTGTAGTCCTCGGAAAATCCTCCGAAAGATTACCTCCGATAGTTTTGCGGGTTTTGTCAGATCTATGCATAGCGCCTCTCCCTCGACACGTAGAGAGCCACACTCCAGATGGCCATTGCCAGTAATCAGCACTCGATGGATATTGGCGGCGACTCGTAGTGAGGAACACTAACATCGTGAAAGTACTGTCATTCCAAGATACCTTCAGCGTTCCGTCGATGCGAAGGACAACGATCGATGCATTTCCGTGAACGTATACGGTATTTGTCTCCACCCGCGAGCCTGGGGCGATAGCAAACTGCTGATTTAAAGCTGCGTCGTTATGTGTATCTGTTTCTCCGAATAGAATCTAAAAACCCGGCGATTTTGTTTTTATGGTTTTTAAGCTTACCTCAAGGTCATTTACGCACATTTGTGATGCGACTGTCACGGATTTTTTGGCCGCACAGGCCACATTTTTCTCCCGCGCCGTGTCTATGATGTCTGATGATATGAGTAGTTCTTCAACGGCCGAAAAGTTCAAAGATTTGCAGAGCTGCTCGACATTCTCGACAGCCAGGTCCAATCTTTGGGCGCACACTTGGAACTGGGATTTAGCCTACAAAACTTTGTATTTTGGAGACAAAACAGGAGCTACTTTGATAGTTCCCGAGACGCGTGTCCATTCTTTATTGACAGCGAGTAGCTTCATCGAGTTTTTGCTTTCCATGAGGCCCGCGTTATTGTTGAAATTGGCGAGCCGTATGGCCATGTCGTCCACCGCAAAGATACGATTGCGGTTATCTAGACGACCATCACCGCTAATGGAAAGTCGGTGTGCTGAGATGATGCCTTCATTGACAAGTAGCTGAAATGTTTCATGGTATTATTCTTGCAGTTGATCTTTCTTACCTCATCGACAACAATTTGCAAATCAATAACATGGTTCTGCTTGTCAGGAAGACTCGTCAATCGCCCAGCATATAACAAAGAGCCGGTATGAATATTGACTTGATTCGTTTCAAAACGGATTTGGCCGCTATGAGCCCATGTGGTCGCACACACAATCCCTTCTGACACTTCACTGTGGCCCATTGACATTATCGAGCATCTATAATAGTTTTTGTAAATCATATCGGACACTGTAAGTGTCGTACCCTTTGCCGGTAGTCAAGGCCCCCGCCGAGATCAACGTATTGAAATCGATATGCGGTGTCTGAGATTTGGCACCAAATAACCGCACCATGGCCGTTGACTGGATCTCAACTATATTTCACGTTGCAGATGAATTTCAATGGCTTGCCTGCGAGGAATGGAGCAATGATTGCGGTGGCGTTCAATTTTCCGCCCAAGAGTAACGCTGGACTCGGATGCGGAAGGCTGGTTGGTAGTTGGGCAAGCCGTGAATTTCCCTACAACGCGAAGTTATATTCTGGGTGGAGTGCTTTTTTTACCTTTAGCGTTAAGCAGCCTGCAAGAACATCAATCTGTCCGCCAAATGTAAATTGACTCTCATCCGCGTATGGTAGTCCAATGTCAATCTCGTTTACACGAATATAGGCATCGGCTTGTACAGCTTTGAGAAACCTATCGCGAGTTGTATTTCGAACTGGCATAGGATTGCATACCTGAAGGAAGCACGGTTGGCAATGATCTTGCCATGGATGCTTTTAGCATGTGCATGTAGTGTTAGATCTAGGACTTCCTTGACGAAGAACATGCCGTCGACGGATTGTTCGGCGGAGCCGGCGGTGATTGCCAGACTGCCCTCTGCATGCCAGGTCGTATTGTTGCGAATTACGCCAGCTGTAACGACGCCTTCGCAAAGGTTTACCTGAAATACGGTGTTGACACGGTGCATTTACGTTGATTTCAAGCCATACTAACGAGAACTTGCCTTTCCAGTGTCGGTTGTTTGAAGATCATGGCGTACGTACAACGTCAATACTTCAATATTCATAATTCCTCCAATAGTGCAATGGCGCTCGCACGCCAAACTCCCAATATGGGCCTCAAGTCGAGACGAATGGAAACATTCAATTGAATCCTAGAAGATTTTTAGATTAAAGTTAGGACAATGCCAATACCTTAAATTGCCCATCCAAGTTTGTCCCAACGGTCCAGATCCCACTATGCAAAAGGCTATGGCCGGTCATTGTAGAAGAGCCTTCGACAAAAACCTAATCATCGTAATTTTTAATTGTTATTTGTTAGCCCTAACCTTCCCATCGGCAGTTGTAACAACATTTTTATGAGCTGTCAACCAAAACGCGCCAAGCTGCAATGTGCCACCAACATGGCAATCGCCGTTGCACGCAAGTTCCAGCTAAAACAGAATTATAAATAAAAACCGGTGTAGCCCTCGCCTTTTCAGCTTCCAAGTAACTACTTTCGCCGAATATTACGGATTCAAGGGTTTCGATGACAACAGTATCCCCTGAGGACCAAACGCCGTCACAGAACACGCTCTCGGCTGAGAGTCGGCATAGCACCTAGGTTTAGGAGATTACTGAATTCTTGGCTAATTCACGTTACCTCATGGCTAACGATGGCCTCTGCAGAAATTGTGCATTGTTTGGATACATTGAAGACGGCAGTTTTATGCTTGATCTGACCGCACGCTTCAAACTTTCCACCAACATCCATTTCCACGTGGCCACAATGCCAGATTGAGTCTGCTTCCACAGCTGCATCGGCTGCTATCTGAGATTGCAGTTGTAAAAGTCATTTGACAGTTCGCTTGCCTTGACTTGCAAATGTTCAGCATTAAATTGAGCACAATCTTCACAGTTCTTCCCCACATTTGCCTGAAAAAGTGATGTGCTGTTTTTAGCCTTTATGCACACCTGAATGACATTCGCTTGAATGCAACCTCGACGCCAATCATGCACAGCTAGAAGTGCATTGATGAGGGCAAGGCCGGAGCGAGCGTTATTTTGGGTCGATCTTTCCTGAAGGGTTCAGCTCAGATAGGTTTGATTTTTTGGATCAAACCTTGGCTTCACGATACTTTGCAATCGCCGTTTGTCTTAAGGTTTTTCTCCTTGATCGGGCCTGAAACGATTTATATACATTTTATTACGATAACGCTTGCCTTTGATTTCTGGCGTTAATCTGACATGAACGTACCTTGTCATTCTTGTCCACCCCAATTTCAATAAGCCGAGCTACAGCATTTGCATTTTGGTCCTGGATAGCTGATTGGAGCGAGGAGCTGCTTGGGCTGCACTCCACTGCTTTTCCAATACCTATAAACAATACATTCCATCTTTTGCACAAGCAATTCTTATACCTCGAATTTGTTTGAGCGCATCGTACCCTCGGGTGGCTGAATCAATAGATCCATCAGATAGGGAGACGATACTTCCGCCGATTGCTAGATCAACCTAGGGCCCTCCATTATTCCGCCAATTCCGTTTCCTTACCTTCTCAATCGCCAGGATTTTACCATAATTGGCCAGTGATCCGCTGACTTGGAGAAGGAGCCCGTCAGCCATAATCTGAGGCTGAGCACTTCCGCGGGAATTCTGAAAGTTCGTACGTCCTCGCTAATTACTGTATGCTCGATAACAAAAGGCAAGATTTTACCTTCAAATTTTCTTTATCATTCCCTTCGCCAATCCGCCCATCGACTCCAATATGGAAAAGTTGTGCATCCGCCCGAATACTCATGACGCGCGGCTCATCGATGGGTCCATTTTCAGATGGGAATATTCGGCCATCAACCTGAATCACAAACTCTTCTAGTATTCCTTCTCCAAGCGCACCTGCACTTTTCTACCAGCCATTCTGAGCTTATTAGTGCTGAGCAGCGCTTCTGGAGCCACTACCAAATTTGGAGCGGTTAACCGTATCCGGTCAGATTCAATCTGAATACATTGTACCCTCAAAAACTAAAGCGAACCCTGGCGTATATACGCATCGTCCCGGAAGTCGATTCTAAAGAGATTTTGGGTGCTTTTAAGACACCATAGACATCCATATTTGGGCCAGAGATCGACAGCTAAAAGATTGATCTCATTATGCCTTGTATATCCGGGCCTACCTCAGAGAGCCTCGTGTTCACTTCTCGAACTTGGGTACGCAGCTCTCGTTCATGTGGGGCCACTGATGTATAGACCGTAAATTCTGGCTTGCGCTCATTCTGGATTCACAGGTTTATATCGTTAGTTAAAGTTGCTAATTTACCTGAGCTTGAACAGTAATTTTAAATTGTTGTTGGAGCCGCTGTAGGACCACGGTGAGATCATTGAAGAGTTCAGTTTTTACTGGTCGCCAATTTTGTGCTGTGTCCAAGGGCACTGTGATCTGAAAACTGACAGAATTTTTAAAAACTCTCCTCCGATTCAGATTTATTTTTTCCTAGTATTCAGAACTACGTTCTCGTTTTCCAATCACCACTCGACGTGTTTGGATCCTGGCCAATCCATGATCCTTTTGTGAATGATCCGCAAATCCCCTCACAAACACCCCTTTTTTTCTCTCAACACGCAAAGTCGTTCAAGGTCTCCCTAGTTGAGCGACCCTGCGGGGTGTCACCCAATCTCCCCCCAAAAAGTGGTAAAAGGAACGCAGTGGAGTCGCCGTTAATTTATAGGCAACAAATGGGTACTAGCCTTTGTCGTAAACGGGAATTATAGAGGGGTAAGAGATCGGGTTGAATTCGACTTGCCTGAACTTTTCTTCTGTCTTCGCTGAAAGTGATGGCCGGCCGAGCGCCGCGTTCTAATCGGAGTGAGATTTTTTCGTGGTTACTGTAGGAAAGGAGCATCTGAAAGAGATTTTGGATTGAAATGAGGGAAGCTTATCATTTTCGAGATGAATACAACGAATGGAAATGTCACAAGTTCCTGGACCCCAGGGTTTTTGCACCTTTATCGCGTACGGATCTTGATCCGTGAAAGAAAGTCAGGGCTTACTCAGAGCCGATCTACCCCCTTCTAGAAACCGGGTTGTTGGCTCATGAGGACGGGGTGCTGGTGGTGTAAACCCATAAATAAACTCGTGTGTGTATGTCACGACCAGACGTGCCGCAGATGGAGCCACCACAAGGCGGTCGACCCACAATTTGTCTTTATGGGGAAAACTTCTGGAGTGTGCTGCTTCTGGGGCGGTTTTGAGCGATGTGGTAGCATGGGATCGGGGTTGTTAAGTATAAAATTCTTTTATTTTGATGAAAAAATAACTTCAGTTGTATTCTAAAGATAAAACGAGCAGGCTACTTTTGGCCAAAAATTCGTGATGGCCGGTCTATCGATAGACCAGCGCGTGAGCGGTTTATGCAAATCTATGGAAAGGAAACATCGGATCGGAAAGAAATAGGGAGGGAGAGAGAGAGAGAGAGAGAGAAAACTATCCGTTTTTAGAAATGCAACCGCAATTTTCGAATGATGCGGCTAGGACAGACTGGTAGCAGGGGTAGGGCCATATTGGACACAATCTAGGGCCCAGATGCAACGATTACACAATCGGATTAGGCGACGGATTGGTAGGCACGATCCATCAAGGAAAATCTGGGAACAAGGATCTCTAAACATTTCTTGTGTATCTATCGGTTTTATCATATGAAATCTATCGCTTGTCAGACCGGAAGCAGACTCGGGTTGTAATGTGCAGGGGAAGATGGGAAGATGCAAATGGTCTTTCATAACCATAAACCCTTTCAACGCGTAGGAGCGTCTACTTTTTTGGATACGGTATTCAAGTGCATATAGACATCTCATATGCTTTATGATCCGGAAACGAAGCGCGGGCCGATTGAGCATGAAGGTTATCTGAGAAGAGTGCCTGGTTATACCGCATGGTATTAAAGGGGCTGAAGTGAAAGTTACTAGACGGTTCCCTTACATGTGGAAGATGCTGTGCAACTATTTTGACTAGCTGACACAACCTCAATCCCTTTTCCAGTCCAAAAAACAACAAAATCTTCCGAATCGGGCAGATCGTGGCAAAGATAGGGGTTCGGGGCGCCCCGTTTTCTGAGGGTTGCCGGAGAGTAGAGTTGAGGGGGCTCGAACTCTTTTTCCTGTGTCGAACGACCCTTGCATGGACAAAGAGAGAAAAAAATGGGCTGTGACCCTGTAAAAAGCGGGGTGTTCCGATGTGGGGGGAAGGGGTCGACGTGTTAGAAAATCGTAAAAATGGGATGGAAGTTGATCACTACGAAAAAGTGAAGTTGCTGAATTTATGCGGCGGAAGGGAACGGAGAGGCGGATCGGGTTGCTGGAATTAATGTGAACGGGGTATGGCGGTTAGTAGGCAAGCTTTAGCCATCGGAATGTTTTAAAAAATCTTTCAAAAATGGGGGTCTATAAAATTACCCAACCCTGACCGTGTTCGCGCGCTCAGCTTCCCAACTCAAAAAAATCCGGAAAAACAGCACAATCTCCACATTCGATCGCCCTTGCCGCGCTCCTGGAGGCGCTGCTCATTTGTCAATGCGCAGAGTGCGTAGCAAAAAAATGCGCGAGTTGGCCGATATTTGAGAATGAGCTGAATGACAGGGTGAGAAGAAAAAAAGGAAGAAGGAAGAGGCGTTCGGATTTGTCGCGTTAGCTGGGATGGAGATAGGTGCGTGTGTGTGTGAAGGGGTATTTTGATGGATTGGGAAAACATTGGAAATGGATGATGCGAGATGGGGGGATTTGGTTTGCAGACTGATCGGTTGCCCCGGGAATGGACGATGGATGAAAAGGTATGATGGTGGGAGTAGTAGGGCTTTTTTGGGACGTCCGATTGGGTTGGATTAAATGGGAGGCTGCGGGTGGAGAGAAAAAGAGAGGTGATATTTTTATTGGTGTTCAAAACCAATAAGGGTTTTAATTAGGAAGATCAGGGCAGTAAGCATTGCATTTTTGGATCTTTTTAGGAGCACAAAATTTTAACGGGCAATACATGCCGCAAATCAGAGTTTCAAAAATGGATAAAAGCCAAGCTTTCATTCAACTTCCGAATATCTTTAAAATCATGCAAAACCAATTATGCATAAAAGTCTTGGACTCTACAACTAAATCAAAAAGCAATAAAAATACATAAAAATCCACATTGAAGAGGGTAGGATATCCATTCCGTGGACCCTAATAAATTTCAAGGGCCTACTAATGAAGGCCCAATAACGGCCCAATCCGTAACAAGTACTTCAGCCAATTTGTAGTCCCAAAGCAATGCGAGAATCCAGGTAAAATAGAAAAGGTTTGACATTCAGGCCCGCGCATACCACAAGGATACCGTAGCGCAACAAACAACACCCCCAAAACACGGCGGGTTGTGTATGAGCAGCCGAAGATATCACTCGGCTCCCAGGGCCCTTCTGATTTATTAGATGGGCTGACATGATGATCGGATAGAAAAAGTCAATAGCTAGATTGGAAATGGGTGAGGATGGGGGGGATGTGGCAGGGGGATTGTGGAAGGGTAAGAAAAGGGGCTAATGGCTAAGTGGATGTGGATAGATGGTCCATTCAACACATCCTCTGCGCATTTGGCTTGATGCCAGTTCGATCTGTTTTTTTTGGGGTACAAAAAGGGGCTCTCCAAAAAAGGGTGGTCTGGGAACGGACTTTCGATTTGCATCCGGGGGAAGGGAAGAAATAGGGATTAGAGGGGCACGCAAGGTATAATTATGGATTTTGTAAGCCACGGAGTTTGGGATAGAGTGTTCTACGAGGATGTCACGCCCTTAAACTGCTTAACGTCTTAAAATATCGTAAATTGCGGTTAAGGAGCATTGCGTAGCGCCTGAAATCACCCAGAATTTATAGCCAACTAAGTCCATTATTTGGTTTTACCTCCCTTTGATCAAAGTTTTTGTGTATCCAGGATGGTCAAGACTAAGGATTTACAAACGGAAAGTATGCTAAAATCACCCGAAAAACTTTTACAAATTTTTACCTTTTGTAGTCACAAATTAACGAAAACTCCCCCAACTTTACCGCAACTCGCCACACCTATCACCATTTTTAATGGCCCCCATTAAACCAGTTATCAGGCGCGGCAAAAGAAGTTGCGGGAAATTGTCTAGCTTACGATCCGGATTGAGAGCCAAAGGGGGGCGAGAAACATAAATTTCCCGGTAAGCATCGATGGTATGGCCCGATTCGGCGAAAAAAAGCGGCAGTTCAAAGCCAGCCGCAAAAGTCTCGACGCATCAGCCTATCGCCCTTCTCATCAACCGACTACCGTAATCCGTGGCTGTCGCGAACATCGACGCCTGGTTGGGTTGTAGGGATAGGGATTGTTGGATTTTTCAAGGGGGGGTATGGAGTTTGCACGCCGCTTTAGAAGCTTGTTACCTACCTCAGTAATTGATTTTGGGCATATTAAAGCAAAACAAGCAGAAGAAGATATGACTTGGAAAGGACAGGAAAAGATAACGAAACTAACGAAAGTAAAAAACTTAGGGAAACAAATTTTTGGCTAAAGTAGTTCAATGTATGTTGCGAAGAGTAGCTCATGAAATTTTTGGTATGTGATTTTTACAGGGCTTCTTCTTGACCAAGCTCCTTCAAGATAAGCGAACCGCACGCGAATTCAAAATTTTTTGACCTCAAGGGAAAAGATAAGGAGGTGCAGAGGGCATTTCTTGCAAAACTAGGCAATAGGCTTTATACTATAAGACATCAATCGCATGCTACGAAAATTCCGTTTTGCGGATTCGAAAGCCTAATCGATTTTACAACAGTAAACTTGATTGGAAAACAACAGAAAACGTGCATATTAGCGAGGGAAACACTCAAGTCACGGGAGGTAAAGGTAAGGGAGCGGATGTCTAAAAACGTTGTCTGCAAACAGATTAGGCCAATAAAAGACGGAGCCGTTCGCTCATTCGAGTTAAGGGTGTCCTTGGAAGAGAGCTTTTCAGTGCCACAAGTCGAAGCGGAACACGCATGGGGGTGGAGGAAGAGTTGCAGCAGATCCTGGTTTAGCTGGTGAGGGTTGAGGGATGGGAGGAGGATGAGGATGAGGAGGATGAGGATGAGGAAAGACAAAAAAGGACGAGAGGCGGGAGATTCGAACTGAGCCGCCGTACAGGGCAAAGGAAGGGGAAGGGGGAAGCCTCGTTGACTCACGCCCTGTCCCCTTTCCACATTCAAAAAAGGGGGAAATGCTGCCGTATATGGCATAGAGGTCGGGATTGGGGAGATAGATAGATTGGGGGGAAAAGAAACGGCAACTATATATTATTTGGAACTGGTTTTGTGTATCTGAAAGCGGCCAGCAAAAAAAATTTCTGAAAAACACTTGCAAGCCTGAAAGATTAATGAACATAATCAAAAAAACCATGAAAAATAAATAAATTCTTGGTGCTAAGGATGGTAGATAACTATGAACATGCTTAAATAAGATAGAAAATGAAATATTATACACCCTGCTTATGGCCGCTATGTTTAAAGGGACAGTGCCGGCTACTATTAGCCTCCCCGGTACCTACCAATAAAAAAAGCCACAACAATTCTCAATTAGAACCATATTGGCGCACAATTAGCGTAAAGCCAACGCTCCCAATCGTATATTACGAAAAAACGAAAGCCCCAATCCTCAAATGTGAAGTGGCCCGATATTTGTTGATTGATGATTATGATGGGGCAATTTGCGGCGGCCAGCATTTCCACATCATTTCAAAGGGGATAAGGGGGCGAAAAGCCGACCGGGCAGCCCTCGATCGTAAAAAGTGAGGGTGGAGCAGCAGGAAGGTGGCCAGCGGCCAGCCGTTTGTACACCCCGGTTTGTGCCTTACGGCAAAAAGATCTTTCGCTTTCCAGCAAATGGGAA